TACTTTTTAAATGTTGAACTGAAACTATCCCTTCAAATCACCTTTAGTCAAATGGCAGGTGAATTCATTAAGTAATGAATATCACCTTGAGAATTGCACTCTTTTAATAAATACTCCATATAAGATCAAATGGTCAATAAATACTCTAACACATAAATGAGGTCCAGGGTGAGATACTGTCTTATTGGACACAGATCAATTATAAAGGACCTCATGAAAATGTTGATGATGGAACCATTATCATTGAACAACAGAATAGAAATTGTTGAGTTCGAACCTATTTTTCTGTGTATATTTTTACCAAAATTAAATAAAACATCAAAAATAAAAATACCCCAAGTCAATTGATTAAAAGTACAATTCTATACTGATATATAATACTGGAATTCCCAACTAAAAGTGATCCCATGTCAGTATCAGCTGGAAAGAAATTATCTAAAAGTTTGTCATTAGAGTCCTTCAAAATTACTGAAAATCTAATTATTCTCTATTCATTTCTCTCACAAACCTATTGAAAGAACCAGAAATGATTGCAGTAAGAGAGAAATTAGGAAGTTTTAAAAAATAGAAATGTAGGAAGAAAAAAGTTCAGATCAATAAAATACAATTAAGGACAATGACATCAAGTCCATTGTTTTATTATTTATTTTTATATCTTCCTTGGAAGAGACTTAAAAACCACAATGGAAAGGCAAACCATTAAGGTAGAAAATATCATTTTAACAATTAATTGATAAACAATATTCTTGTTTAAAATAATATACTATCCTTATACGAGGAGGTAAACCCTCTACCCCCAAAAGGAAATTTTTTCAAAACTATGTATTGAACTTTTTTTTACAAAACAACCATATCACCTTTAAAGTACTCTCCATTACACTTAATACATTTCAACATTTCACCTATTTTGACAAAAGAAAACCACTCTTATACTTGAGTTTTTTCCTATAGTGCTGTCCTTGTAAGCTGTGCTCAACATCACAAACGTTTCTGAGGTATTTTTACTGAGCAGGAAACAAAATAGGCCATCACAGAAAATGAGGTTCAAGCAAAACTGAGTTTGCAAAAAAATTCACTGTGACCACAGAGATCCTTCCCAGGCAATGCCACTGGGTGCACTAACTCAGAATGCATTGCTGGATGCTGGCCTAGTGGGAGAAATACATACTGCAAAAGCTCTGGTTTGGGTGGGTGGGGAGGTACCTCATCGTGCTTGATTTATTTTATTTTTTTAATCATTTTATTGGGGGCTTGTACAACTCTTATCACAATCCATGCATGCATCCATCGGGTCAAGCACGTTTGTACATTTGTTGCCATCATCATTCTCAAACATTTTACTTCTACTTGAGCCCTTGGTATCAGCTCCTCATCCCCCACGCCCCAACATCCCTCCCTCATGAACACTTGATATTTATAAATATTATTATTTTGTCGTGTCTTACACTGTTAAAAATATATTATTACAAAAATCCATTATAGTCATTACTATGATCTTTTAACTAATTTATTATTTTTCTTGAACTAAGTCTTAACTATTGACCCCATATTCTAAAGGTACTTAAGGGTTCAGCAATAAAATTCTTACCTTCCATGCGGGATACTCATGTGTAAGCACCACCTATCTGTCAGTAGAGACTTGCATATTCTTATTATGCTTAAGGGGCTTTAATAGAGGTCCCAGACCAAGATGGGTATTTCAAAAAGTAGGAGGTGGGTTGGCGATCAGTTTCTGAAAATTAGTTTTTGAAAACCCTACAGATCCCCAGAGCATGGGGTCCCCAAGAGTCAATAGGAAACCTAATGGCAGTTGGCAACAGCATGCTCATATTCTGCTGAGCTCACTAGCTGTGTTCTACACTGCATCTGACCACACATGTTGTGCTATACTTAATAGAAAAATTTAAAAAACGGAAAAAAGTAAACCCGTGCTTTCCGGTTTTGTGTTTCTTCTATCGTCATAATGTATTACGTTTAATCATTTTCTGAGAAAAGCCTATTTCTGGAGTATAAATGAAAGAAAGTATATTTCCAGGAATTTGGAATGAATTTAACAGCCTGTGGAGGGTGTCCTGAGTTTCCTAGTGCTGAAGAAGTCACTCAGCAAAACCGTTTTGAGAACAAGGCAGCAGGACTCTGGAAACAATTGAAAAATGTAACTCAAAGCCGAGAGGTAAATCTTTGCTATATTAGGCATCACTTAGGTTCTTTAGCATCTTGTTTTATTCTCAGGACTTTAAAGTAAACTGAAGACATTAGGAAGTGCATCGCGAACTACAAACAAAGGTCTGTAGAGTTACTTCATGAGAAATCTAGCCTCCTAACCGGTGGAGCCTTGACCTTCTTGGGCTCCCACACCGTTTTTCAACACTTCCCAGGGGTGCGAGCAAGGGGTTCTAACAGGAATGGCCACATCACATAGAGAAAAGGTTGCACAACCAATTATTGTATTTTATATCAATAAAAATTTTACAATGTTGAATTGCTAAGAGTTGTGTGATAAATATGTGTATGACAACGACCTAAAAAAGGAAGCTGCTTATGCAGAACCAAAAATCCATGGGATTTATATTCCTGGTTTGGAGATTGAGAGTCATGGTTTCATAGAAGATCCCAGCGAATTAATTTAATAGCACCTTTAGTGCCTCTGTTCTACCTCTTAGTTCATTGGGTCGTACCCGTGTTCTTAAAAACATGCAAATGGCCAGCTCTGGCACAACAGTTGGTTTGTGTTTGCTTGGAATAAGAAAAAGGACAAATCAGGAATAGGAGAAAGTTGTGGAATGTGTCCCTAATTGCCTCCAGGAAAAATTGCTTCCTTTGCTCTGAGCTCTGAAATGGATGCTGCATGGCTGAACGATTTGATTCCATAGGAGGATCCTGATCAAAAGGGGAAATGCAGGACAGAATTTCAAAACATCAGGAACTCCAGCCTTTCTGGACCCAGGGTTGCTGGATGAATTCCTCAACTATTACCTTGGGATGATCTTTAAACCTTAAACCAAAATGAATTCCCTGAAGTCTTAAAAGGAAACAATCGTTTAGTTAACTAGTAAAAACGGTCTGCCTTGATCAGCATACTCTCTTAGCAACTATCCGTGTGAGACTGAATCTCTCATCGTGACCCTCGGAGGGTTTCTGAGTCTGCAACTCTTTATGGGAGTAGAAAGCCTAGTCTTCTTCCCCAAAGCTGCTGGCGATTTCAAAGTGCCAACCAGGAAAATCACAGTCCAATTTGGAACCACTACACCACGAGCACCTTAGAGATTGGACAGGAGCTTAGGTGGGCAGAGCGACACCTCAGAAAAGGACAGTGAGGTGATTCACTAATCAAAGAATGTAATAAAGATCACTAATGGCCCATATCGACAAAGTTTGGATTTGTTTATAGTTTGCTGAGTATACGCTCCATAACAGCAATGACGAAAGAAAATGATATTTTAACAAAAGTGTTATCTGCAGTCAAAGTCTCCATTTGTTCCTTGTTCATGCCCTCTGCAGTTCATTCCAAGCTGGTCTTACCCTCACCATCGCACAAGATGACACCTATCAAGGTGGCCGAGGGTTTCCATGCTGCCAAACCCGAAAACCACATACCTGCTCTCGTATTTCTTGAGAAGGGCAGTTTTTGCAATGGAGCACTCCCCCGTGGTGACAACACTAGGTTTCTAAAGTCACAATTCCCCTGGCTCTGCCTACCGACCATTTATAATCTCAAAGCACAACATTCAATTAATTTTACGGATTTAAAATTAAATAAATAAAAGCTCCAGGAATTACTACTCAAATGAGCATTTGCATAAAGTAATGACTTCAAGTGGGCTGGACAAATGATGTCGACTATTTCTGTTGTTGTTCTTGTTGTTTTTTATTTAATCATTTTATTGAGAGCTCTTACAGATATCATAACCTTCCAGCGTTCAATCACATCTAGCAGTATTGTGCAATTGCTACCACAAACAGTTTCAAAGTATATTCTTTCTTCTTGAACTCCTTGATATCAGCTCTCCTTTATCCCCTCCCTCTCCCATCTTACCCCCCCCCCAACTCTATCTTATTCATTTATTTATTTTTGCCTACCTTACACCACCCACTATATCCATTCACATAGAATTCTGTTGTTCACTACCCCCAAAGTGGGGTTGTACGATCATCGATGCTATCAGCTCCCCCTTCATGCCATTCCCCACCCACCTCTCTTCCCATACCCTCTGAGCTGTAATACTGAAATACTAAAATTACTGTAGTACTGTACTACTAAAATTATGGAGTGGAAATGATTCAGATATGGAATAAGCATGTGCATTGAACACTGCTATTCACCACTGCTGCATTCCTAAGGCATATTTAAAACAAAGAAACTGCATTAATATGCTAAATAATAAATTAAATAGAATTTTTGCTTAAAAATAACTTTAAAAATGATTAGCTAAAAGGAAACAGTACTTGCCATTGAGTCACGAATCTCAAAGGGGAAATGATGTCATTGTGTTAATTTAGGGAAAGCTAGTGATACAAAATGACTCTACTCTCAGAAAAAGCACATATATTGTTATCTGTTATAAACTTGTGCATATACATTGTTATAAGAGGCATAAAACTCTTGCTTCCCTAGGAAATGTGCTAATTTATTCAATTTGAGTGTTAGGGTAAACACATCCCCCACCTTTGTTTAAAAAGCTAAAGGTAACGGTCACCTGTGGTAAAAAGCCTGTATCGTAGGGGGGCCAAAAGGGAAGCTGGAAAGCACAGGCATACATTTGTGATTTATCACTGGGCTGAGATCCTTATTAGCTTAGTCAGCATTTTGGCAATAACAATGAGGACCATAGTCCTGAATATGCCAACTTTGGCCTGAAATTCTTCAAGACATCTCAAAACAAAATGTAGACAGAGAAGACAGTTTAAAAAAATGTTTAAGTTCCGGCGCAGGCTGGCCGGTGACGTGCCGCGGGGCTTGCCGGGAAGGGAGTTGAGCTGAAAGCCGGTCACCTTTGGAGGAAAGTTCGCCGCGATGTGGTTTGAGATTCTCCCCGGACTCGCAGTTATGGCGACCTGCCTGCTGATTCCAGGAATAGCGACTGCGCACATCCACAAGTTCACTAACGGGGGCAAGGAGAAGAGAGTTGCCCATTTTCAGTACCAGTGGGGTTTGATGGAAAGAGATCGGCGTGTCTCCGGGGTGAATCGTTACTACGTGTCAAAGGGTTTGGAGAACATTGACTAAGGCAGCCTTTTTCTGACTGGTGAACAAACGACTTGATAATGTTCACCTCCGCCAGCTACAGAAGCGGATGCAACATATTACGAAGTATGCTATGTAGCACTTAATAAAAGTTTAAAAAAATGTTTATATGTGATTACAAATTAAGCTTCCAAAGTTTGGCAGGAAGAAAGACCATTAAATAGAAAAAGAGAAACATGGAACTGTGTGTGACCGCCTCCCTGGGGGACAGACAACTGAAAAGTGGATGAAGGGAGACGTCGGACAGGGCAAGATATGACAAAATACCCATTTATAAACTATCAAGGGCTCATGCGGGAGGGGGGAGCGGGGAGGGAGGGGAAAAATGAGGACCTAATGTCGGGGGTTTAAGTGGAGAGAAAATGTTTTGAGAAACGATGTACAAATGTGCTTTACACAATTGATGTGTGTATGGATTGGGATAACAGTTGTATGAGCCCCTAATAAAATGTTAAAAAAGAAAAAGAGAAACACTCATCGATCAGAAATAAAATTATTCTAGGTAAAATGAAAATGTAAGAAAAATCTAACAGTGACTTTAAAAACAAATATAATTAGGATACTCAATGAGATAAAAATGTTAATGGCTCATAGAATAAGAAATCATAAAGTTAAATAAAACAGATAAGAGAAATATATGAAAACAAAAATTAGAAAACTTTGAAATTAAAATACATACTCAAGGAATAATCATGCACGTTTTAAAAGATCAATAGATGAGATTCTCTTTATATTAAACACTTTGACAAAAAGAATTAGTAAATTTGAAAATGGTAATTTATACTTTCATCCTAATACAATCTCCCCGATTAAAAATATCTAGAAATATATATGCCAATACATACGAAAATCAAGAAAAATCTGAAAGGCCACAACATTCCCTTTTAAGAGTTCTAGGTTAGGAAACAGAGAATTTTTCAGAGTTAAAATTTTATTACAATACTCAAAATTGCTACTGCAACTGAATAAATAAAACTAATGAAAAATAGTAAGAAAATATATAGAAACAATTGTTTCTTGTAAATCTTGTAAGCCCATCTTGTAACCTAAGAGCTAAGAAGGAAACAAAAACAAGAAAACAAACAACAAAAAGATGACCTCTTTAGGGCTGAGAGTACAGAAGTCAATGTCTCAATACAGAAATTTTCAAACATTTTGATATGTAGACTCCTTTATACTCTTAAAAGTGCTAGCAATGCCTAAGCACTTCTATCAGTGCTGGTTACCTATGGAAAATCTCAATTTCATACAGTGCTGGTTACCTAAGGAAAATCTCAATTTCACTAGTCAGGACAGGCCAGTACCAACTGCAGAACAGACCATCAGTTACTGCTTTGCAAATTGATGTTTACTGTAGTTGTTAGATGCGGTCAAGCTGGTTTCGACCCATAGTGGCCCTACGTACAACAGCACAAAACATCACCAGGTCCTCAGCCATCCTCACAAATTTGTGTTTAATAAGCAGAAAATTAAAACAAGTCCAACGGGAGCCAAAATATATCCTTGAGTATTGTTACAAAGAAAATAGATGATAAGCAGAATACACACTCAAAAGTAAAAAGTGTAAAAAAACCCAGTAGTATCAAATCATATATTTGGTATAATTTCTTAATAAAATTATGAAAATAAAACAAAATACTGTAAAATTATATTATTTTTGGATGACACAAATGTAAATAACCTTCAGAGTGGTGATTGTCTTTAAGACAGAAGGAAGGAATGAAATCATGGAGTTACAATGGAAAATCCCACGGTTATTTGCCATGGAGTCTTCTCCAATTCATAACCACCCTTTGTGTAACAAGAGTTATCTTGTCCTGAGCCTGGTTGTGTAATGGGTTACATGTTGAGCTGCTAAGTATGAGGTCAGCAGTTTGAACACACCAGCTGCCTTAGAGGCAGGAGCTGTGGTGGCACAGTGGGCTATGCCTGGGGCTGCGACCAGCAGTTTGAATTACCAGCCACCCTGCGGGAGAGAGATGAAGCTTTCTCCCCCTGTAAAAAGTTACAGCCTTGGTAACCCAAGAGGGCATTTCTAGCCGGCCCTACAAGGTGGCCATGAATTGGAATCAACTCTATGGCAGAGAATTTGGTTTGGGCATTAGAAACAACTGAAGATGAGAAAAATAATAATAACTACCATCCCCATCCGTAACTGGTTTGTACTGTGCTTCAGTAAGAATCTGATTTAAATTTTCATGCCAATTCATAACCCATCTTGCACCAGGCAACGTTAGGGACTATTGAAAATACCCTCAGGACAGGGCTATATAAGGGCAAATATACTTAAGTAGTGTGTTAACATTGTACAGTTTAAAAAGTTTTAATTGCTTTACCCTTCCTTCCTTCCTCTCTCAAACTTTCTTTCCTTTCTTTCTTCTTTAAAAGAAGTGAGTTGGGTACTCACTCACAGCCATTGAATCAATGCTGACTCATAGTGACCCCTGTGGGTTTCCTAGACTGAGCTGTTTACAGGAGTAGAAAGCCCAGTCTTTCTCCTGAGGAGCTGCTGGTGGTTTTGAACTGATGACCATCCAGATCATAGCCCAATGTTTAACCACTACACCACTTGGGGTGGTGGGGTGGTTAAATGTTTTATGTACAAGAAAAAAAAAGCACTAGAACCCACTTATTTATCATCTTCATCTTACTCTCCTTCATTTTCCTCCTCCTTTTTTTCTCTCAGGTTTCTCAGCCTTTATGACACCATTTCTTGGCAGCATCAGGTTGTCCTTTCGTTTGCTATGCTGCAATAATATCTGTTTTGTATTTCCCCCTCAGCTTGGTGGTCTTCTTCGCCTAAAATTGCAGGTCACCAGCGGTAGTATTGTTCCATGTCTCTCAGCTTCTTTACAGCACCACCAATGGACAGGGCAAGGTACTCGCCTTTGATTTGGGGAGTGATGCACAGAACACAATAAGAAAAAGGCTGAAGGAGGCCTCTTGGGTGCACTAAGGTCCTTGAATTATTTTGTCCCCATTAGGAAAAATATCAATTTTCCTTTCTCTTTCATAACAGACCGTGTCCGTCTGTGCCATGTCTTCACATCTCCTGTTCTCATTACAGGGCATGGTCTTCCGTCTCCCTGAGCACTTCTTAGAAAACTTCTTAGAAGTTGATGGAAGCATCTGGAGCTCCTTCTGGAAAGTTTGTACCAAAAATACATATGACGACATTTTGCCTCTCAGCTTCTGAGGATCGATCTCCCTTCCCCACATTATATTATTATTTTTTATCTGCAGATCAGTCACCCAGTGCTGCATGGCTCTGCCTGGCCTGGTGCTGTCTCTGTGTAGCTCAATGTACTACATTGATGAAGTTAGATTATATTTTTGTGAATATTGTGTAGACATACCACTGAGGAATTCCTTCACTCTACCCAATATGATGTTTGCTAGCAATCTGTCTTTCCTGAGGACACACCCAAAGTCAGTGAGCTGGATATGGATACTCTTTATCCTCAGTTCTCAACTACACACAAGGACTCATCCTTGGTTCTCACCTATGCACAACTGACTCACAGGGGCAGGTCTCATCTCGTCTATAGCATCTCCGTGCCCACATTCCAAAACCAGCCACGCTCACTGACATTCAGACAGTTCTGTATCTGAGCCTGGATCTTTCTCCTTTTTTAGCCATTTTATTGGGAGCTCTTACAGTTATCATAACATTCCATAGTTAAATCACATCAAACAATATTATACAATTGCTACCACAATCGGTTTCAAAATGTTATCTTTCTTTTTACACTACTTGATGCCAGTTCCCCCTTTATCCCTTTCCTCCCCCAACCTGCCCCCGAGGAACCCTTATTATTTATTTACTTTTTTTTTTGCTCTATTTTACACCATCCAATATGTCCAGTAACATACATTTCTGTTGTTCACTCACCTCGAGTGAGGTTACAGAGTTATCAATGCTATCAGCTCACCCACACCCCTCTACCCATAGCTTCAGGGAGCCATTACTCCTGTTACTGTCTCTGAAGAGTTGTCTATCTTTGCTTTCATATATTGAACAATCTTAATTATACAAATGAACATAAGCAAGTCTAACATGATTAATGAGGCAAAATAGATAAGAACCATAATAGTAAGGGGAGGAAACATTAAAGAACTAAAGGATACTTATGGGGTTCATCAGTGCCATACCACACCCTGGATTTATCACCCCTTTCCTGTGACTCTTCTGAGAAGGACTGTCCAATTATCATACAGGTGGGTTTTGGGTTTCTGCTACATCCACACTCCTTCACATTGATTTGGTTGCTTGTTTTTGAACTTCTGATACCTTTTTTCTGTTGATACCTCATGATCACACAGGCTGGTTTGCTTCCATGTGGGCTTTGTTGCTTCCCTGCTGAATGGCCACTTGTTTAACTATAAGCCTTTAAGACCCCAGACACTATACATCTTTTAATAGCCAGGCACCAACAGGTCTCTCCACCACTTTTGGTTATGCACCCATTTTGTCTTCTGTGATTGTGTTGGGAAGCTGAGTATCATACAGTGCTTCCTTGTTGTACTTACATATATATATACATAAACAAATACACATATATTTATATATTTACTTATATACGTAACAATATATACCTATTTTTTTCTTTCTTGGTACCTCCTCTTTTTCTTTTTTCTTTCCTCCTGCCCCACTGTTATGTTTACCCATCATTCACCTCTGAGTAATCCTTCTCAGATATAATTCGATTGATCAAACAAAACCAGAAAAGCTGCACCCTACTCCTCTGTCCCTGTCATTATGGGTTCACCACTCCCCTCTCCTGTCTCCTCCCCTCCCCTTTCCTCCCTAACCATTGGTCCCATCGCTGTCTCTGCGGGATAGCAAGAGACTAAATTTTTACAGGAGTAGAATGGCTGGTGGTTTCAACCTCAGACCTTACCATTAGCAACTCAATGTACTCAACCCACTATGCTACCAGGGTTCCAATGACCATTTTAAAGGATAGCAAAACTGACTGAGTACCTTGGAACCCTGTGCTGGATATAGATAAAGGGATTGTGAACTGTTAATAGGCTAGAATCACAGTTTATTTACCCAGGAAGAGACAGAAATGCACATTGTCTAGCAGCTAATGG